ACACACACACACACACACACACATACACACACATACAAACACACACACAAACACACACATACACATACACACATAAATACACACATACATTTCCCACTCCCACATAAACGCATGTTTTCAAATCCTGCAAGGTAATCCCTTTTATCCCCACCCCCCAAACAATCATCTCATACCGTGTCTACGAACTCGACGTATCTCGTGAAAAAGTACAACCACACTGCTCTCGCCATCTGAAAAAACAAAAACAAGAAGAGAGCTCATCACATTACGATTTCCGATTACAAAACTGTTCTATTTGTGGGGGTTTTTGTGTTTTATTCGTTTGTTTGTTTGTTTCTGTAGCATTGAGGAATCTGAACGGAAAGTGACAATGCAGTTGCGTTAAACACAATAATATTTCACCACAAGGCTTGTCCACTGCAGTCCGACCGAAGTGGTCAGATTTTTAACAGCTTTTGCACAGTCCACATTGCGTCTGGCTTTTGTGAAAATGTTTTAGATTGCATGTCTATAATTGTCTCGTGAAAACGTTATATACCAAATGTTTGTAGTGTTATTTCTTAAACTAGTTATTGTAATAGTATTATCTTTGTTCTATATCTGTTTCAGACTGAATCTCTCGGAGAAATTGAATAAAGCTTCAATCAAGATTCGGCAATTCCAACCTTGTTGAAATGTTTAATTCTTCTGACGTTTCACTGACATGTCAGACATTTTCTGGTTTGTGAGGCAAGAATCCAGGTACGTCACGTAGGTAAATGTGACGTCATCAATGTGGTTTTGGTCTGGTCACTTTTCCTTCTTCGACAAAATCTGTGCACCATGGACGATGCAAAGTTGCTAGTCCGATGCTATGTTCTTGGGGAAAGGCCCTTTATACGAATTTCCCACTTGCCTTGGTCCTTTCGAAATTGGACGTTAAACTTGGAGTTCTGCCTCTTAAATAACCTAACAGTGTTGGTAGGGGCGTTAAACCTATAGCACTTCACCATTTTTACCAAAGTTGCTAGATGTGAGAGAGCAAGGAATGAAAAGTTGTTCGTCTCATTCCCAAGCATTCCAAATGTCACTCATCCTAAGCTTATATTTGGCGCGGGGTAACGGTTTGAAGTCTCCCAAAGTTCCGCGATCTTTACACATTGGGTTGACCTAGTGATGACGTCTTGATACAAACGATTTTCTTCTGTACCATCATAATAGAAAAATCTCGCGCTTCCTTTGTAGCACCAGGGTGCAGTTTGGCCAATCTACAGTTAGCGATCACTGGATGGGCAAACATGTAATTAACATGGGGATAAGGCATAGCTACATTTTTCTGGACATACATTTAATTTTTCTGGCCCGTTAAAATTCTAGTCTATTTGGGCGTTGTGAACAGTCTTACTTTGTGAATACGTTGTAATCCGTTTCTCGGAGAACTTGAGAGGGTAGTTGGCGGGTTCTCTGCTGTAGTTTGTTTGTTTGCTTTTTCCTTTTCTTTGTATGTTACTCTCCAGTAACACCTCTAAAAATCGGCACTTATATTTATATGATCTATTTGTGTTGTGAGTGTCGAGGGACGCTTGCCTATAAAACTGAAACTAAAACTAAAGGAGAATGCTTGGCGTTGTATTAGCTGACTGTTTGCAATTTATTTGCTACCCCCCCCCCCCTTTTTTAAAAAAAAAATTAATTAAAATTTTGAAAAATTGGAAACATTTTTACGAATCCACTTTTTAAAATTCTCGTGGAGAAAATTAGCTAGGTTTGTGATATATCTGGGAATGTGACTTACCCGCATGGCTAGAGGGTTTGTGGAGAAGTCCACGGGTTGGCACAGCAGTGTGTAGTTTGACAGGTAGGCCGTGTGCACATGCTGGGAACAGAGGAAAAATGCTTAAGCCATAAGGTGTTAATCGTAATTCATTATAAGTGTATCTAGACAGGTAAACGTTGTAAAAACATTGTCTGAACAGTCATGCACGCCAGCTGTCCAAAGAAGAACACCCCCCCCAACCCCACCACCACCCCCAACCCCACCCCACCCCCAAAAAAAAACACAAAAAAACCCCAAAAAACAACACCTTTAATTTTTTAAAAATCGAAATTAAAAAATTGATTCTTTGATTGTTTATTTATTTTGAGAAGAAGGAAGGTAAAACAAAACAAAACAAAACAAAACATGATGCAACAGCATTCGCAGTTGATAACGGAACAGCAACAACAGAAAAAGCAAACAAGGATGACGACATTTTGACTAAAATGTTATTTTTTTACGACAGCTTCTCAAATATGACGACGCAGTGTCTCCTAGCTGTTTAGATCTGTTGAGTCGTAGGTCTGTTTTTAGTACAGAGTTGTAATTAACAGTTTCATCTTTAGTCGATATAGACTTGAAAGGAGTAAAGCAACCAGCACATCCAAAAAAACAAACAAACAAACAATCAAACAAATAAACAAACAAAAGAGCGAACACACAAACAAACAAACAAATAACACGTAGATAATCTGGTATACAAATAAACAAACACACAAACAGATGAAGAAGCAGACACTCAAAAAAAACCAAATGTATTTATAAACAAACAGACAAGCAAACAAACACCTCCACTAGCATACCTCAAACAAGATGTAGAAGGAGACTCCGACCATGAAGAAGTTGTAGATGACCAGCGGCCACTTGAGGCTGAAGCCTTTGTAGGGAGCCATCAACTTGGGCCCGAAGTAGACGATGGCGAGGTAGGCACAGATGACGATGCAGTTCGGGGTCACCCAGCTCATCATGGGGAACTGTCTCACGCGCGGATCTGATGAGGGAAGGGAGGTCAATAGCAAAATACTTCACCCAGCATGATGTCAATATCAAAATAACCCACCCACTAATAATAATATGTCAATATCATGATGTCAGTATCAAATTAACTCACTGATACATGTGTAATAATATGTCAATATCATGATGTCAGTATCAAAATAACTCACTGATACAGTGTAATAATATGTCAATATCATGATGTCAGTATCAAAATAACTCACTGATACATGTGTAATAATATGTCAATATCATGATGCCAGTATCAAAATAACCCACTAATAATACTATGTCAATATCATGATGTCGATATAAAAACAATCCACCCACTTTGATGTCAATATCATGATGTCAATATCAAAACAACCCACCCACTTTGATGCTAATATCTTGATGTCAATATCAAAATAACCCGCCCACCATGTAGTCAATATCAAAATAACCCACCTGCTAATAATAAAATGTCAATATCATGATGTCAATATCAAAATAACCCATCCACTCTGATGTCAATATCATGATGCCAGTATCAAAATAACACACCCACTATGATGTCAATCTCAAATTAACCTACCCACTGTGATGACAAAATCAAAATAACCCACTTACCATGATGTCAATATAAAAACCCCACCCACTGTAATGTCAATATCAAAATAACTCGTGGTGTCAACATCAAACTGTGTGTCTATGTATTTTGATCTGGGTGGGTTTTTTTTAATGAATGTACGTGTGACTGTTTGCGAATGTGTTAAATGTGTTTGTGTTTGTGTGTGTAGGAGTGTGTGTGTGTGTGTGAGTCTGTGTTTGTGTATGTGTGTTTGTGTGCTTGTGTGTACGTGTGTGCGAAGTGTGTATGTGTATGTGAGTGTGTGTGTGTGTGTGTGTGTGTGTGTGTG